CTGTGGAGTCTTGTGGGCAAAAATTCTACTTTGTGAGCTCCTGGCATTAAAGTTGTGAGCGAGCGATTTGGCGACTTCATACATTAGTCTGCTCTGGAGCCATCCCTTCCTGAGCTAAGACAAAAAATGTGTGAGCCGGAGGCTAAAAAACTGTGAGCCGGCTCACACTCGCTCAGCTTAGAGGGAAAACACTGCTGAAGGGTCTGATTCAGCATAAGGCAGATTCATGTGTTTGTGTGTTGGGAGCAAATGAAATAATAATAATAATACTTTCAATTTATTAATCGCTTTCCCCAGTGGGCTCAAAGCGATGTACAGTTACACGTTAGACAGGGGACTAACAATGTTCAAAGGAGATAGGGAGGACAACATATATTCATTTTTAATTGCACACGCTGTCACTGCACGGTGTAAACGTCTTCTGGCTTGGCTCCGTCATTTTCCGAATGAAATGGGTGCTCAGAAACTCATCAGCAGGTGCCCTTTTACTCAGAGGTACCCTGTTCGGGATCACGGTCTTTCAAGGGAAGGAGCTTGAGACTTACTTTTTTACAAAAACGAAACCTGAGAATTCAGAGACCCTGCTGCATCTAGAGATACAGTGATATATTGCTATAATGACATTCAAGCATGGAATAATAATAATAATGATTTTGGTGTCATGGTTAAGAGCGCAGACTCTAACCTGGGAGAACCGGGTTTGATTCCCCACTCCTCCAAATGCAGCTGCTGGTGTGACCTTGGGCCAGTCACCAGTTCTCTCAGAGCTGTTCTCTCAAGGACAGTCCTCGAAAGAGCTCTCTCAGCCCCACCTGCCTCACAGGGTGTCTGTTGTGGGGAGGGGAAGGGAAAGGAGTCTGTAAGCCGCTCTGAGACTCCAAGTGAAGGGCGGGGTATAAATCCGGCCTCTTCTTCTTCCGCCATATGCAGCTGCTGGTGTGACACTGGGTCAGTCACAAGTACTCTCAGAGCTGTTCTCTCAGGAGCAGTCCTCAAAAGAGCTCTCTCAGCCCCACCCGCCTCACAGGGTGTCTGTTGTGGGGAGGGGAAGGGAGAGGAGTTTGTAAGCTGCTCTGAGACTCCAAGTGAAGGGCGGGGTATAAATCCAATCTCCTCCTCCTCCTCCTCCTTCTTTGTATATCTACACAGCATTTGTGAATGAACAAACCCTTAGCCTGTCTTGGGACTGTTTTGTCTCCCTGATAGGTCACCGCTCCCTTTATGCATGTGGCCGCCCTCCTCTTCATGGTCCTGCTGTCTTGGCCGGTCGCTTTGTATACTTTCCGGTTGAAAAAAAAAGGTACAGTGACTCCTGTAAGTAAGCATACCCACCTCTTGCAAGAAGTAACCTAGTCGCTAGATATTCATCCACAGCAGCATATGCAGAGCAGAGCAAATAAACCCAGAGGGCAACAATAGCCAACAGAAGCAGCCAAAAACCCAATAAAGGACCACATCATCTGGGACTCAGTTCAAGTTCCTAGTCCCTCTGAGGACTTCCATAGCCTGGGACAGGCTCGTAGCCAGGATTTTGTGGCTTGTGGGGCAATTTTTTTCCTGGTGGGGCTGAAGTCCTCAGTGCAGGAAGAAAAGCCATGTAGCCAATAGACAGCTGTTACCAGGTGAGAGCTCTAAATTGCAAGCTGTCAACCACTTGAGATGACAGTTCTCAGCTGCTGCAAGTTAATCACTTCTGCCAGCCTAAGCGACAATTCTGAGAACAGGCCGGCAGGTGGGGGGGATGACTTCTATAGTCAAGAAAGCTAACACTTGGGCAGGAAAACTCTCTTAAAGGAGACCAGTTTCTTGAGACAGAGTTGGAAGGGATCCTAGAGGTCACCTACTCCAACCCCCTTGCTCAGTGCAGGAATTAGTCAACTACAGCACCCCACTCTGCTTAAAGGAGTGCATGCCTTTAAAAAAATGTTTTAAAATGATTGAAAAAACCATCAACAGGAGAAATTCTTTTTTTTTTAATAAAGGTTTTATTGACTCCCCTAAAAAGGGGAGGTATTTCGCTTAAAAGAAGAAATGGGAAGGGTAGACAGTGGGGGAAAGAGAAAGCTGAGTGATATATAAACTTGTAAATTAAACTGTTAGTAATGTCCAATTAATCTTCTTGGGCTTCTTCTGTGTGTTGTCAAACTTCTTTTTTTTTATCCGGTCACATGAAGTTCTCTGTTAGTATGCTAGTAATGTTCCTTTGAGTTTCTGTTAATAAAAAAGCCTCTTCTGGGCACACTGAGAACCGCTTCTTTGCGTGCTGGGTACTTTTAGTGTCGCTGACGTGGAGGAGCTTCCTCTGTTGTCTTCTCCTTCCGGCTTGTTAGATCCTCCTTCGGGTTGCTGTTAACACTCTCAGTTCATGCACTATAAATCCTCTTAACAGGAGAAATTCTTGTGGGGCTGTGCGTCTAAGAAAGGGGGCGGAGCCCCCAAAAGTCCTGCCGTAGCTACCGGCTTGCCCTGGGACCTAGGTATTGGAAGGACTGTCCTCTGCTCTATGGACCCCATAGAGGCTGCCATTGGGGGGTGGAGTCATGCTCCAAACCAGTGGTCCCTCAGGGGTGAAAAGGAAGTTGGTGACGAGCGGGGTCTATTAAATGGTGGCTCCCTGCAGCATTTAGAAGGCAGGCAGAACAGCCTTTAGGAAGTAATCCTGGATCATTGTGTGCATATGCCATTGGGGTTTTCCCCTGGAATTATCCCAGGTGTGGCTTTTGTACTCTTTTTCTTATCATGAGCCACCACAAAGGCACGTCTGCCCACAGTGAGCGATATTAGCCAAACAAACGGCCTGGAGATGGAATGTGGAGCGACCTAGTTTTCATCGCTTGCAGTAGAAAGAAGAAAAATTGCCGCTTTGAGCGGTGCCCAAGCTGGGCCCCCGGGAAGGGGTTTCCATTCATGGGATGAGCACAATTTGTTATTGCAGATCCCTTCCACTTGAAATCGCCCTTTCTCCCGATCGGCATGTGGGAAAGGAGCTTGTGGACCTCATGTGAACCCGGCTTCCCCCTCTGCATTCCCATTTTCGCTCTTGCGGAGAAAGGCCAAGTGATGCGACGACGCAGGGGTGTCGCGAGGGTGAGAGTGGTCCTGTTTCCCGTGGTGGAAGGCAGGTTTTGCCCCACCTCAGCTGTATCTAGGTTGCCATCCGCCAGGTGGGTATAATAAAAAAAAAATACAAGAACTGTGAAATTGTAACTATGGAAAGTTCGAAAACTATGGATAAGTCGAAGGTCTCTTTCTCAGAGGAAGGCAGCTCTGACTCTTGAAAGCTGATATCCAGAAAGTCTTGTTGGCTTCTAAAGTTCTACAAGAATCTACCTGGAGAAAATGGCAGGTTTGTGTTGGAATGAGCGACTCAGCATGACTTTGGGACACTGGGGGGCGCTAGATCACTCTAAGCAGGGCTTTTTTGTAGAAAAAGCCCAGCAGGAACTCATTAGCATAATAGACCACACCCAACAGCAGAAACCCATTAGCATATTAGGCCACACCCATGACAATACAGCTCATTTGCATATTAGGCCACACACCCCATGTTACCAGAAGTGTGGCCATCCAGACACACCCACCTTTTGCTTCTTATTCTGTTGACCTTGTTTGTTGTCAAAACCCTGGGCTTTTTTTGGAGCAGGAACCCCTTTGGATTTTAGGCCACACACCCCTAATGTAGCCAATCCTAATGAGTTTCTGCTGTTGGGTGTGGCCTATTATGCTAATGAGTTCCTGCTGGGTGTGGCCAACTCGGGAGCCAGCCGGAACTCCGTTCCTGTGCATTCCTGCCCAAAAATAGCCCTGACTCTGTGATTAGGTGTCATCTCACTGAATGAGGATGCCTGTCGTTATCTTCACCTGGGAGCTGCCTTCTGATTCCTCCTCCCTCTCTCCCTTTGTCCTCTCTCTCCCTTTCTTCACATGGCTTTCCGCGGAGACTCGTGTCTTTGCAAGTCTCCCCTGTAGAATCAGTGCCCTCGTACGCCCACACAGATGATGCCAGACAAGCTGGCCAGTTTGATAGGGAAAGTACTCTTTAGATAAGGGTTCTCTCTCTTCTTTTGACTGCAACCTGAACTGGATCTACTCGATCCAGGTGGGCGGCCGTGTTGGTCTGACGCAGTAGAACAAAGTTCGAGTCCAGTGGCACCTTTAAAACCAACAAAGTTTTTGTTCAAGGTGTGAGCTTTCGTGTGCAATCACGCTTTGTCAGACAATGGACTCAAACTTTGGTCAATATTTTCTTTTTTTAAAGTTTTATTAGTTTATATATAGAAAGGGGGAAAAGGAGAAGAAGGGGGGAAAGAATACATATATAAATACACACACACACACACACACACACATATCTATATATATATATCCCAATTTGACATTCTGCATGCAAATCTTCCCATAAAAGTTTCACAACTATTATAACCATCTTATTGTTCTTCATTTAGTCCTAGTTTCTTGGTACCAGGGTTATTTTTGGGCAGGAACGCACAGGAACGGAGTTCCGGCTGGCTCCTGAGTTGGCCACGCCCAGAAGGAACTCATTAGCATAATAGGCCACACTCAACAGCAGAAAATCATTAGGATTGGCTACAATTAGGGGTGTGTGGCATAACATGCAAAAAGCCCTCTGGGTTTTGACAACAAACAAGGTAAAGAGAATAAGAAGCAATAGGTGGGTGTGGCTGGATGACCACACTTCTGGTAACATGGGGGTGTGGCCTAATATGCGAATGAGTTTCTGCTGTTGGGTGTGGCCTATTATGCTAATGAGTTCCTGCTGGGCTTTTTCTACAAAAAAAGCCCTGCTCGGTACTTATGCTTTAACCAGTCATAGAACACCCTCCATGGTCCCATAAATTCTTCTTCCATTTTTCCTTTTAGTATATTTGTCAATCTGTCCATTTCAGCACATTCTGTAATCTTCGTTATCAACTCATCAAGCATTGGGATCTTCAATGTCCTCCATGTCGCTGCAAATAAGATTCTAGTTGCTGTTATAACAGGTCAATATTTTCTTATTATTGTGCATATGTCTCCACAACAGTACGTATCTTAATTGTGATAAACAATTCATGATCGCTATCAACGGCCCATTCTAATGATGAATGAAAGTGCTTTGCAAGTGTTCTTTCCAAGATTAAAGCCCTCCTGCTGTAGTAAACGCCCGAAGTCCTTTGTTCTTTCAAATCTGGGCTCCATCGGAACATTCATAAATCATCCACAATTACTGGACATGAAAGAAGAAAGGACATTGAACCGTTTACTACAGCACAAGCGCTTTAATCTTGGAAAGAACATTTACAGGGGCTTTCATTCATCATTAGAATGGACCGTTGGTAAGTGATAATGGATTGTTTATTTTGATTAAGATATGTACTGTTGGAGAGACACAGGGGTTATTTCTTGCAGGAGCACACAGGAGCGGAGCTCCGGCAGTAAAGCACTCAGGGGGCGGGCACATGCAACAAGCCCCACCCCCTGCTCCCAGCAGCCCTCAGTCAAAGCAAGAAGCGACCAGGTAAGTTGCAGAGCCCCCCCCCCAGCCCCCCAGTCCAAGTGGCACCTTTAAGGCCAAGGTTTATTCAGGTACAAGCTCTCCCTCCTCTGCTAGGGCAGATCTGCGCATCCCCCCCCCCCCATAGCTAGCAATCCAAAACAGTCCAGTGGAGCCTGAGCGGTGGGTGTTGCCTTCTGACACACTTCCGGTGATGTCAGGGGGTGTGGCATATGCAAATAAATTATGCTAATAAGCTCCTGCACCTCTTTTTCTACAAAATGACCCCTGGAGAGACATATGCATTATAATAAAAAAATATTGAAGTACTGAACTTTCCCCAGTTAATTGCATGGTTCTTGTATTTTTTTATTATACCTTGTTCCCGTGGATCTCTCTGGATTATATATCCTCCAGGTGAGGCCTGAAAGTGTCCCAGAATTATAACCAGACTACAGAGGTCTTTTCCCCTGGATAAAATGGCCGCTCTGGAGGGTGGACTCTAAGGCATTATACCCTGCTGAGGGCTCTCCCCTCACCAAACGCTGCTGTACCCAGCTTCCATTCCCAAATCTTCAGAAATTTTACCACCTGGAGCTGGCAACCCTATCTCTGGCTATTTGCAGGCTCACGGGGTGGGGCCAACCTAGCTACATCCCAAATTGCAACCGTTGAACTAGACCCCTTCAAAATCAACGAGAGCCTTTGAGCAGCCAGAAATCTAACTTTAATCATTTTACTGTATCATCGGCACAGAATTCCACATCTTGGTTCGGTCTCTTGGTCATGCACTGGTGTGACCAAGATCGTGAGGCAGATCATGGGAGGGAGGGCAGGGAGGGTTGCCTCAGTGCTTAGTTTTCGTGGCCCAGTTTGGCGTAGTGGTTAAGTGCGCGGACTCTGATCTGGGAGAACCGGGTTTGATTCCCCACTCCTCCACTTGCACCTGGCTGGATGACCTTGGGCAAGCCATAGTTCTGATAAGAGCTGTTCTTGAAAAAGAGCAGTTTCTGTCAAGAGCTCTCTTAGCCCCACCTACAGGATGTCTTTTGTGGGGAGGGGAAGGGGAAAGGAGTTTGTAAGCCGCTCTGAGACACCTTTGGGTAGTGAAGGGCGGGGGGTATGAATCCAATCTCCTCCTCCTCCTCCTCACACGCCCAGGGAAATGCCGATCACCACTTTGGGGTCAGGAAGCAATTTTCCTCCAGGCCACTTTGGCTAGAGATCCTGGACGAGTTTTTTTGTTATCTTCTGGGTGTGGAACAGCAGTCACCGGGGGTGTGGTGGGGGGAGGTATTTGTGAATTCCCTGCATTGTGCAGGGGGTTGAACTAGATGACCCTGGAGGTCCCTTCCAATTCTATGATTGTATGACCTGGGAATGACTTTTTTTTAAGCTGTTGCTACTTTCTATGGCAGTTTCCTGATGCCAATGAGTTGACTGCCCTTCATTGACTTAGAAATGTGTCTTTCCCCATTCTCCCCCCCCCTTGTCCAAAGGGATTTGCAAAATATAAAAACAGATCACAAGGATTAAAGCGTTTGATTTATACAACGGTGGGATAGGCAGGGTGTACTTATTTTAGTGGATTAAACGGCCACAAAAAGGTGGAATCCGTTAATATATTTCTGTATCTATCTTGTTCAGTTTTGCAGGTGATGGTTTCGGTTCCCTACATGGCTCTGCTCCTCTTCCTGTTCTTCATACCGCTAGGGATGTACTCTCCTTGCATCCGGGAGGAAGGGACTTTGGGCCCTAAGCCAGCTCTCATTGGCCACAGAGGAGCGCCAATGGTAGGTCGAACTGGAAGAGGGCGGGGCCACCCCGACGTCGTCGTGATGCTATCGGGCCAGTGCGGTGTAGCGGTTAGAGCACTGGACCAGGAACTGGGAGACGCACAGCCAAATCCCCAGTCGGTCTTCAAGCTCACCGGTTGACTCTGGACCAATTTTCTCTCAGCTTCATCCCTCACAGGGTTGTTGGGATCATGAGACAGGGACAAGAGAGCCATTTGAGCTCCTTGCCGGGCAGGATGAGTGCAATAAAAATCTACTCGGCAGATAATTGTTCCTCTTTGATGCTGTGAAGTCTAAGAAGCTGTAACTCAGCAGAAGCTAGAACAAATCTAGAGTCCAGTGGCACCTTTAAGGCCACCAAAGTTTTATTCAAAGTATGAGCTTTCGTGTGCACGGACAGTTCCTCAGATACATTGGAATGGAAGGTTCAAACGTATAGACAGGGGCTGAACAGCAAATCAACATGTATCATGTTGAAGAGAGAAGAGAAGAGATTGGATTTATACCTCGCCCTTCACTACCCGAAGGAGGCTCAGAGCGGCTTACAATCTCCTTTCCCTCCCCCTCCCCACAACAGACACCCTGTGAGGTAGGTGGGGCTGAGAGAGCTCTGAGAGAACTTGTGACTGACCCAAGGTCATCCAGCCAGGTGCAAGTGGAAGAGTGGGGAATCAAACCCGGTTCTCCCAGATTAGAGTCCACGCGCTTAACCACTGCACCAAGCTGGCGCTAAACCAAACTGGATGATGATGTTTTAAGATATGCGAAGAGAAAACTAAATAACAAGCTAAGGTTATAAGGTCAACAGTTGTAAAAGCAATAAATATGTCAAAATACCAGATGAATGTCTGAAGGTGTTTTTTCTAATTGTGGGAAGTAACAGAATCTTAATGATCTCTTCTCAGGCCTAGAGGTACAACAGTATATTTTGAGCTGGATGTAATTTTGTCAGCAGACATCCCTTCAGTATTCTAATATATTATTCTGAAAAAGAAATACACTAAAATACAGAGGATTTATAGCCCTTCTTGTTCAGAATACATCGGTGAGGACTGAATGAGCTTATGTAATGGGATAAAGATCCAATGTCCCTGTTGAGTCCTGGGGAGGTTTTTGTTCCAAGTGTTGTAATATCTTGTAATTCAGAAATTTCCTTTTCCATTCTGTTCCTGAAGTTCCTTTGTGATAAAAACAGCCATTGTACATGGCGTTACTTTGTTTAGGTTGGAACCTTACCTCCCATTCCAATGTATTTGAAAAAGTTTGAGTGCGCACAAAATCTCATCCCTTGAATAAAACTTTGTTGGTCTTAAAAGGTGCCACCGGATTCTAAATTTGTTCTACTGCTTCAGACCAACACGGCTGACCACCAATGCTCCCTGTCAGCTATGGAGTCCTGTGAGCAACAATTCAACTTCGTAAGTTACTTACCTCAGGAAGGACAGCTCCGGAGCAAACTATTTTACGCTGTAGCCAAATCACAGGCTCACAACTTTAATGCCAGTAGCTTACAAAGTAGAATTGTTGATGACAAGACTCCACAGCTTAGAGGATTCATCGCTCTGGAGCCTTCCTTCCTGAGCTAAGACAAAAACGTGTGAGCTAGAGGCTAAAAAAGTGTGAGCTGGCTCACACTCACTCAGCTTAGAGGGAACACTGCCCGGATCTATCATCAGAAGCTAGACAGGCTGGGCTCTCTGTATGTCCCCTTCCTAGCTGCGACAGAAAGACAGGTTATTTTGTTACTATTATTGTTATTTTTTCACTTCCTTTATACCCAATGGGGACCCAAAGTGGCTGACAACATCCTCCCCTTCTTCATTTCATCCTCACAACAACCCTGTGAGGTAGGTTAGACTAAGCGTGTGACTGTACCAAGGTCATGCAGCAAGCTTCTGTGACAGACTGGAGTTTCGAACCTGTGTCTCCCAGGTCATAGACAGGCACTCTAACCCCTATACTGTTGGTTATGCAGGTCTCCCCTCCGTCATCTTCCCGCTACTGTAGTCCCTCGGCCCCAAGTTCCACGTGGGACACCTCAGCCCTCAAACCTTTAAAGTTTCTTTGGTCTGATTCTCTCTGGCTGTTCAGTGTTGGAGTTCCATGGGGCGTCCCTTTGCCACTCATCCCTCATCGGGAGCCGCTAGAAAGACCGGTTTTCACAAGCGGCAGTCGTATTCTCTGGCTGCCAAGCGATAGGAAAACAGTCTCCTAGGAGAGGTCCCGGGTTCTGTCAGTCACCAGTGCCTGTTGTCTTCACAATAGGTGGCTCCCGAAAACACACTCATGTCATTTGTGAAAACCATTGAGCACGAGGGTGATGGTTTCGAGACAGATGTCGCAATTAGGTAAGAGCGTTTAAAGCTGGCTGCCCGCTGGGAGGATTTTTAGAATGATAATTCTCAGACATGAGCCGTCGGCGCTGCACAGACTTGTGCTTCTAGAGCCAGTTTGGTGCAGTGGTTAAGTGCTGGGAGAACCGGGTTTGATTCCCCACTCCTCCACTTGCACCTGCTGGATGACCTTGGGCAAGCCATAGTTCTGTCAGAGCTGTTCTTGAAAAAGAGCAGTTTCCGTCAGAGCTCTCTCAGCAACCTAAACGACCTCACAGGGTGTCTGTTGTGGGGAGGGGAAGGGGAAGGAGTTTGTAAGCCACTCTGAGACTCCTTCGGGTAGTGAAGGGCGGGGTATAAATCCAATCTCCTCTTCTTCTTCTTCTTCTTCTTCTTCTTCTTCTTCTTCTTCTTCTTCTTCTTCTTCTTCTTCTTCTTCTTTTACCTCACAGGGTGTCTGTTGTGGGGAGGGGAAGGGAAAGGAGTTTGTAAGCCGCTCTGAGGCTCCTTCGGGTAGTGAAGGGCGGGGTATAAATCCAATCTCTTCTTCTCCTTTTACCTCACAGGGTGTCTGTTGTGGGGAGGGGAAGGGAAAGGAGTTTGTAAGCCGCTCCAAGACTCCTTTGGGTAGTGAAGAGCGGGGTATAAATCCAATCTCTTCTTCTTCTTCTTCTTTTACCTCACAGGGTGTCTGTTGTGGGGAGGGGAAGGAGTTCGTAAGCCGCTCTGAGACTCCTTTGGGTATCAATCCAATCTTCTTCTCTTCTTAACTAGGGCTTGGCTTGTAGGGGGAAAGGAGCCATTTTCAGGGTGCCCAAAGTATTCGCTCTGCACTTGCCCCTCCCTAAGAGCGTTTGCCCTTTCCACACCTTTGAGTTGCTGCTGTTCTCTCGACCTGCTACTGCTTTGCGGCCTTGTTCCTTGGTTGCCTCCTCCTCTGTTGAGTGAAGGCAGCCAATCAGGGATCACACAGCGAGCATGATAATGTCACATAGCCAGCTTTGGGGTGATGATGTCACATAGCCACACTGGGCATCACTGAGGGAAAAGGAAACCGGTTTAGAGTGACGGCCGTGCTTCCTAGACTGGTTACACGAGTATTCCTAGCCAATCGGGAACATGAGGCGAAAAAAAAACAAGGAAAATACATCAAAGATTCCAAAAAGGCGTAACATTCTGATGTGTTTTTTAAATGAATTACTTCCCCCACGACAGGCCTGTTTCCAATCAACATTTTTATGAAGGTATAAGTCTTCGTAAGTCTTGTGGGACTTCCACTAGTCTTCAAAAATTCACAAGCGCTTGGTGGCAAGCATCCCATAGGGACTAGCTTACTTGCGTTTCCGTGGTCCGCTGTTACCTTCCCACCAAAGTGGTACCTATTTATCTACTTGCAATTTCTTGCTTTCGAACTGCTCGGTTGGCAGGAGCTGGAACTAGAGACGGGAGCTCACTCCGTTATGCGGCACACTCGGGTCTCGAACTGCTGAACTACCGACCTTCCACAGCCTGCAGTTCAGCGTCTTAACCACTTGAGCCACCGCAGCTCCTTAGTTTATACTTATATTGCTATAAATGTTTTTGTAAAAAACAGACCATGTGTGCATTCTTTAAGGTTGCTTTTGGTCTTTGTACTGGTTGTGATTAACTGTGGCAGCCATTTTGTGTCTGCCCGGCCTCCCCCGGCAGCCATTTTGTGGTCATGCCCACTATGCTGCGTCAGAATTCCAAAGGTGGCCACCGGCTCAAAAAGGCTGGGGACCCCTGAACTATGCAATCGGGCAAGAGGCCTGGACTCTTGGTTCCCGGCTCGACCTCAGCCATTCCTTTTTCCTTCCTACAGTTTCGACGGCGTCCCTTTCCTCATGCACGATAGGACTTTGGCCAGGACGACCAACATTTGGGAGGTCCAGCCAGCGAACGCCAGCAGTGACGCAGCCATGTTTACCTGGGATGTGCTGAGCACACTGAACTCTGGGAAATGGTTCTTCAAGGTATGCTTGCTTGGAATTTGGGGTAGGCCAGGGGGGGGTAGGCGATAGGGTTGCCAAGTCCATCTTCCACCTCCAGCATGGGGGACTTTGGGGGCGTTCCTGGAGGGGGCGGGGCATTCCCGATGTGATGACATCACGTTGGGGACGGCCGCCGCCGCCCCCCGCCCGTGCGCCAGATATCCAGAAACGGCAGTTCCCTGCACTTAAAAGAGCCGGCGTTTCCCTTTTAAATGCAGGAGCCGGCGTTTCCCCTTTAAGAGCAGCCGCGTTTCCCTTTTAAGAGCACGAAGCTGGCGACTTGTTGGAAAGATAAAAAGATTCCAATGATAGATTTAAACCTATATATACCACAACATAATTTCTTTAAAAGGAAAAAGTTCTGTCGTGGGTTTACAGTGCAGATAAGAATTCTGGTATAGCTCTGATGGAGTAAAATCCTTAGTAAGTTATAGAAATATAAAACCTCAGTGAATGCTATGAGAAGAAAGGGAAGATATGATAAAGATACGATTGATACGATTGATAAGCTCTCTGTGGTGCATAGTAGAAGGTGTATGATCTATTTGTGGTGTATTGGTGATGGGTGTGTTGAAAAACTCAATAAAAATATTTTTTTTTAAAAAAAGGAAAGATAAAAAGATTCCGACTGTACAGGAATGGGGACAAAAGTTGTGGGAACATTTTATTCTGGGGAAAATGTCTCAACAACCTTCTACACTTAATTTTGGAACTTACCAACAGAGGTTTGTAGCATTGTGGTTTCCTATTGTTTCTTCCTTGAATGAGCTGGAGATACTTCCGAGAAATCCCAATCTCCATGCCTTGATTTTTTTCTAGGGCGATGCAGGCCCGTAGCCAAGATCCTTTTGTTTTTTTGGGGGGACATTTAAGTTTTTAAGAGGGCAGTTAAATTGCAGTCAATTAAATTAACCTGAATGCCTGCCTTTAGAGGGGTGAACTCTGAGCCTGTTTCTAGCCCTTCCTTTCAAGCGACAGGGCAGTGAACACGTCAGTTCCTAGGAAAAAAATAGCCCAGAGGGCATTTAATTGCCTTCAGAAGGCATTTGAATACCTTTTGAGTTCCCTTCCACAGGGCAAGAAAGCTTAGGAGGGCACTCAAGACAGGGCCCTTCAATACATCTCCAGCAATCCCCCTTTCTGCTAGCCCAGCAGCACCTAGGGCATGGTCAAAAGTTTATTTATTTATTTATTTCTTGGATTTCTATACTGCCCTCCCAAAGGCTCAGGGCGGTTCACAAGCGGCAAAGCCGGAATCTAAAATACAATAAAACACACAATAAAATACAATATTTAAACCACAATAAGCAACCTAAAACACAGTGCTACATCATCAGCAAAGGTGGGGACGATCTTCCAGCTTGGTGGCCAGCCATTTCCAGCATGCGGTCTCCCCGCTAAGTTGTCAAAACCTTGGCCTGGGCATAACTGTCCCACCTTCGTAGGGCAGCCAATGACATACTATCGCGTTGGTAGGATAGTGGCGGCGGCGGCTCCTACTCAAACGCCTGGCGGAAGAGCTCCGTCTGACAGGCCCTGCGGAACTGCATAAGGTCCCGCAGGGCCCAGATCTCCTCTGGGAGCTCATTCCACCAGGTAGGAGCTGCCACCGAAAATGCCCTGGCCCTAGTAGGGGCAAACTTAACCTCTCGGGGACCCGGAACTACCAAGAGGTGGCAATTCCCCGATCGGAGTGCTCTTGAGGGAACATATGGGAAGAGGCGGTCCTTCAGGTAGGCCGGACCCTGGCCATTCAGGGCTTTAAAGGTAAGAACCAGCACTTTGAAGCGAATCCGGTATGCTATCGGCAGCCAGTGCAGCGCTTGCAGCCCAGGCTGAATATTGTCTCGCCTAGAAAGACCCAACAACAACCTGGCCGCAGCATTCTGCACTAGCTGTAGCTTCCGGATTTGCAACAGAGGCAGCCCTAAGTAGAGAGCGTTACAGTAGTCAAGCCTCGAGGCGATCGTCGCATGGATCACAGTTGCCAGGTCTTCGCGGTCAAGGTAGGGGACCAACTGCCGGGCCAGCCGCAGATGATAAAAGGCCGCCTTGGCAGTGGCTGCTACCTGGGCCTCCATCGTCAATGAGGAGTCCAGGAGCACCCCCATACTCCTAGCCTCACACCGAGGCACCAATGGCACCCTGTTGAAGGCCGGGAGCGGAGTCCCAACCCCAGACCGGTCCGACTCAGGCCCAGGACCTCCGTCTTTTCTGGGTTTAATTTCAACCGACTCAGCCTGAGCCAACCAGCCACAGCTTGCAACGCCCGATGAAGGTCCTCGGCATCAGAGTCCGACTGGCCACTCAGCATCAGATAGAGCTGGGTGTCATCCGCATATTGATGACACCCAAGCCCACACCTCCGGGCAATCTGGGCAAGGGGGCGCATATAGATGTTAAGCAACATCGGGGACAGCACAGCTCCCTGGGGCACCCCACACTCAAGGGGATGCCTTCGGGATCGCCGGTCCCCGACGGCCACCCTCTGTCCCCGACCTTGGAGAAAGGAGACAAACCATTGAAGGGCAAGCCCCTGAATCCCCACGTCGGCGAGGCAGCGGGCCAGCAAATGGTGGTCGACCATGTCGAACGCAGCCGACAGGTCCAACGACACCAGCGCCGCCACGCCACCTCGATCCAGATGCCTACGGAGGTCATCCGTCAAGGCGACCAGCACCGTCTCCGTCCCGTGGCCAGGGCGAAAGCCGGACGGGAAGGGATCGAGGACAGAAGCCTCATCCAGGTAGCCCTGTAGCTCTGTCGCCACCACCCTCTCAATCAGTTTGCCCAAATAGGGCAAATTGGAGACCGGCCGATAGTTGGCCAATTTGGCCGGGTCCAGAGATGGCTTTTTCAGGAGTGGGCAGACCATAGCGTCTGGTTTCTGGTATAGCTATCTGTGGGGGGTGGGCAGGGCCGGCTCTTTCACTAGGCCAACTAGGGCGACAGCCTAGGGCACAGATCTCCGAGGGGCGCTGCGAGGCCTCTGCTGCCGCTGCCCACCCCCAGCATGGCTTTCTGGGCACCCGCTCCACAGCGTGCCCCTTCCCGCCAGCTTGCTTTGCCTCGCGCCCCTGCTGAGGCTCCATCATATCCCAGCCCCCAAGCAGCGCTACTCGCCCAATGCCTCGTCCTCACACAGCATAGATCGGGTCTTCTCTTGCCCTACCTGCCCTGCTGCTCCTCCCCCAGCTGAGGCCCAGAGGCCGGCCCAGGGGCGGGGCCTGGTGGAGGAGGCAGCTGTGCTGTGCCCTGGCTCACCAAGCCCCAGGCGGGATGCAAAAAGACCAATGCAAAGATTTAATTTAAAAATTTCCCAAAAAAATTATATCCCCTCAGTTTGATGTGTTGCGGTTGAGTGCGCGGACTCTAATCTGGGAGAATCGGGTTTGATTCCCCACTCCTCCACTTGCACCTGGCTGGATGACCTTGGGCAAGCCGTGGTTCTGATAAGAGCCGTCCTTGAAAAAGAGCCGTTCTTGTCAGAGCTCTCTCAGCCCCACCTGCCTCACAGGGTGTTTGTTTTGGGGAGGGGGAGGGAAAGGAGTTTGTAAGCCGCTCTGTATGACTCCGAGTGAAGGACAGGGTATAAATCCAATCTCCTTCTCCTCCTCTTCTCCTCCTCCTCCACCCTTTGAGTCTCAGTTTTGCGAGAGGTTGCTCAGAGAAGCCTGGCAAATTTATCGAAGAAGGCTACGACGACTCTGGCCTCTTACTACAGATGCTGATTGTCTGCAGTTTCCACCCCCTAGACATTTCTCCCCTGCTCTGCTGAGCCGGATGACTCTTTGCATTGGTCTTTTTGCATCCTGACTCCCTCCGCCCTTCGGACTCGGATATAAGGGCTCCAAGGTCTCCATTCCTGCTTGTATTATAAG